AGCTTCTCACCCTATCTCTAAGGGAAAGCCCAGACACCCTGTGGAGAAAACTAATTTTGTCCACTTGTATCCGAGATCTCGTTCTTTCGGTCACAACCCAAAGCTCATGACCATAGATGAGGATAGGAATGTAGCTCGATCGGTAAATTGAAAGCTTTGCCTTTTGGATCAGCTCTCTCTTCATCATGACAGACCGGTACAGCGCCCGTTTCATTGCAGATGCCGCACCTATCCGCCTATCGATCTTTCATTCCATTTTTCCCTCATTCGTGAACAAGACCCCAAGATACTTGAACTCCTCCACTTGAGGCAGGACCTCCTCCTCGATCCAGAGAGGGCACAGTACCTTTTTCTGGCTCAAGACCATGGCCTCAGAATTAGAGGAACTGATCTTCATCCCGGCCGCATCACACTCTGTTGCGAATTGCTCCAGTGAAAGCTGTAATCATGACCTGATGAAGCCAATAGGACCAAATCATCTGCAAAAAGCAGAGAAGCGATCCTAAGGCCACCAAAACGGATCCCCTTAACACCTTGGCTGCGCCTAGAAATTCTGGCCATAAAAGCTATGAACAGAATCAGTGACAAAGGGCAACCTTGTTGGAGTCCAACTCTCAACGGGAAAGAGCCTGACTTACTGCTGGCAATGTGGACCAAGCTCTGATACCGTTCATACAGGAACCTAAAAGCCCTTATCAAAGGGCCTGGTACCTCATACTCTCAGATTACCTCTCACAGGGTTCCCTGAGGGACGTGGTCGAACGCCTTTTCCAAGTCCACAAAGCACATGTAGACCGGTTGGGCAAACTCCCACACACCCTCCAGGACCCTACTGAGAGTGTAGAGCTGGTCCAGTGTTCCACGGCCAGGACGAAAACCACACTGCCCCTCCTGCTATCCAAAGAACACTCTTCTCCAGAACCACTGAATTGACCTTACCAGGGAGGCTTCAGAGTGTGATCCCCCTATAGTCAAAACACACTCTACGGTCCCCCCATTCAAATAGGGGGACCACCACCCTGGTCTTCCAATCCAGGAGTAATGCCCCCGATGTCCACGCAACAATGCAGTCTCATAAGCCAACACAACCCTACAACATCCAGAGCCATAAGGAACTCCAGGCGAATCTCATCCACCCCTGGAGCCCTGCCACAGAGGAGCTTTTTAACCACATAAGTGACCTCAGCACCAGAGATCAGAGAGCCCGACCCAAAGTCCTCAGGCTCCGCTTCCTCAGTGGAAGACGTGCCGTTGGGATTGAGGAGGTCTTGGAAGTACTCTGCCCACTGACCCACGACATCCCGAGTTGAGGTCAGTAGCACATCACCTCCACTATAAACAGTATTGATAGTGTACCGCTCCCCCCCCCACCCCCCCGAGACACAGGATGGTGGACCAGGATTGCCTCGAAGCTGTACAAAAGTCATTTTTCATGGCCTCTACGAACTCCTCCCACACCTGAGTTTTTGCCTCAGCGACCACGCAAGCTGCATGCCACTTGGACTGCTGATACCCATCAGTTGCTTCCAGGGTCCCACAGGCCAAAAAGACCCAATAAGAGTCCTTCTTCAGCCTGACAGCATCCCTCACCACTGGTGTCCACCACCGGGTTTGAGGGGTATCGCCACGACAGGCACTGACAACCTTACGGCCACTGCTCCAATAAGCCACATTGACAATAGAGGTGTGGAAAATGGCCCACTTGGACTCCATGTCCCCCACGTCCCCCTGAATGTGTTTGAAGCTCTCCCGGAGGTGGCGGTTAAAGCTCTGTCTCACAGGAGACTCTGCCTGACATTCCCAGCAGACCCTCACAATATGTTTGGGCCTGCCAGGTCTGCCCAGCATCCTCCCCCACCATCGGAGCAAACTCAACACTAGGTAGTGGTCAGTGGACAGCTCTGCTCCTCTGTTCACCCGAGTGTCCAAGACATGCGACCGCAGATCAGATGAGATGACAACATTGTTGTTCATTGAACCGCAGCCTAGGGTGTCACGGTACCAAGAGCACACATGTGTGTTTTGTATTAGAATTAGAAAAATAAGAAAGAGTTATTCATTTTGTTCTGTTACTTGAAAATTATTATGATTGAAATAATTGTTTGAAAAAAGGGGCAGAAATAATAAGATTTTTTTTTCTTTCTGCTGCCTTTCATTTTAAATCGTTTGTATCTTTCTTTATATTGTTATGGAATTATTTTGTACCTTTTTAAAATGAATAAACTTTATACCATACCACATATGAACACCCTTATTCTTGAACATGGTATTCATTATGAACAATCTATGATGAGCACAGAAGTCCAATAACAGAACACCACTCGGGTTCAGATCAGGGGGGGCATTCCTCCCAACCACACCCCTCCAGGTTTCACTGTCATTGTCCATGTGAGTGTTGAAGTCCCCCAGCAGAACAAGGGAATCCCCAGGAGGCGCACTCTCCTGTACCCCCTCCAAGAACTCCAAAAAGGGTGGGTAATCTGAACTGACATTTGGTGCATAAACACAAACAACAGTCAGAACCCATCCCCCCACATGTAGGTGAAGGGAGACTACCCTCTTGTTCACTGGGCTGAACCCCAATGTACAGGCGCCAAGATGGGGGTCAACAAGTATGCCCACTCCTGCTCGGCGTCTCTCACCAGGGGCAACTCCAGAGCGGAAGAGTGTCCAACCCCTCAAGAAAACTGGTTCCAGAGCCAGAGCCATGCGTCGAGGTGAGTCCAACAATTTCTAGCCGGAATCTCTCAACCTCACACACCAGCTCAGGCTCCTTCCCCACCAGAGAGGTGACATTCCATGTCCCAATAGCCAGCTTCTGTAGCCGAGGATCATACCACCAAGGTCCCCACCCTCGGCCACCACCCATCCTACATTGTACCCGACCCCTTTGGCCCCTCCCGCAGGTGGTGACCCCATGGGAAGGGGGACCCACGTCTCCTCTTCGGGCTGTGCCTTGCCAGGCTCCATGGGTAAAAACCCAGCCACCAGGCACTTGCCAGCATGCCCCACGTCCAGGCACGGATCCATAGTGGGGCCCCAGTGACCCACGTCTGGACCAGGGAACATTGGTTCCATTAATTTTAATCTACAAAAAAATCTTAATAACCCAGTTTCATTGCTTTTTTCTTCTTCAATATCTCTCTAATGAGATGCACACATTCCTTCCCGCTCTTGTTTTTCTCCTGCCTTTTTTTTTCTTGCTCTATGTCTGTGTATCAGAGCAGCTCCTATATTTTACACATCTCCCAAAATGGAAACTACTGTTTTGGATCTGACCAACTGGACTTTTGACGTATATTACAAATTCTTTCAACAAAGCGATAGGGTCCTGGAGAACCCTCATCTGCTCAGACGAGACGTGTAGCTGAATATATCTCTGGGGGATGTGTCTACCTCTGCTATTGACCGAGGATGCTGAAATTGCCAATAATTGGATTTATGATAACAGGTTTCCTGTTTTTGGAATAGTTTAGATTCTGGCTTATCAACATACAAAGAAGACGGCTGCAGCTAATTTGGACCTCGACAAGCTGCTGTCTATGTGAAGGTCTGGTTCATACTGGAGGACTCAAAATCAGCTGATTTACGAGCAAAACCATAAGTGGAAGTGATTTGAATCGCATGCCATCTGCGGCTTTGGGACTCGTCAGCATGAAAACACCATCTTGAACAGGCTCATAAGCATGGACCAGTGGAATGCACCCTAATCTGGCCATTTTGAACCTTGGAAAGTTATAAATACAGACTCAAGGCTGACAGAAAATAGTCTGCCTGAATAAATCAACAATTGTGGTTATTTGAATCTCTCCCCAGCTGGCCTCGGAACAAGTCGACTTGTCATTTTTTCCTGGGAAATGTGTAAACTAAGGAAAAGCTTAGTCTATCACAACCCCCCCCCCCCACTCCCTCCCTCCCCCACCCCCGTGGAGTCTTATTAGAACTGTGTCGGCTGACAATCATCTTATCAGGGTAATGGACTATCTACGGCTTCATGGACTGCCTCGTTTGTAAATGCATATGATAAATGGTAAATCGACTGTACTTATATAGCACATTTCTATCTTATTTCAAGATACTCAAAGCGCTTTACACTACAATCCGTGTCCTCATTTACCCATTCATATAGCACTCTACTAGATCTCTACAAAGCTAATTGAACAAATCATTCTAAAGAGACTAATCAGTGCTTTAGATCACATTCATACATTGATGGGACACACATCAGAGGCTATGAGGGGTTCAGTGTCTTGCCCAGTGACACTTCAGCATGTGACTGTTGGTGGATTCGAACCCCCAACTCTCACAATGGAGGACGACTGCTCTAACCACTCAGCCACAGCCGCCCCATATGAACATGTTCATAAATGTGCTGTAGCTGACAGAGATTTTTTGATGTCTTAAATCTTGCCCTGTAAGGACAAGGTGTGAAAAGATATTTTTTGTTATGCCACTTCCCTCTCATAGGTTTGTCCCTTTTTCCATCTAAAAATATGTATTCTGAATAAGAATAAGAAGGCTGTCACTGCCCATTCATTTTGACATAAGGCTTTAGCGTTTGCGTCTTTTAACTCTGCCTCACTGTTGTTACTTAGCTAACCTAGATAATGTGCCGTAACCTTTCGTTACGCAAGTTATGGCACATATGCAAGTTGCATATGTGCCCTGCCCATACACGCTGTGCACATGTATAACACAGCTTGCAAAATGCAATTGACTTGCATAATGCAAGCACTGTCGATGCTATGATTGGCTTTGGCTGTGTAGCATAAGTGAACCACATTGTATCATGTTTTATGTGCTGCATAGATTTTCTTGTGCGCAGAGAATGTGTCAACAGTGCACGATTGCGCAGGCACACAGCTTAGAGGGAACATTGCTTGTAGACACATGACATAATCCTGAACTTACACATAGTCTTGTTCCTGCACACCTGAACTCAGCTTAAGACATGTTCACATATGACTAAACTCACTTGTGGGATACCGCTTTATCAACAGGATATTGTGATCAGTGAGCTGATGAAGAAGTTGGACATTCTGGGGGATAATGCCGTAAGTGTATGTTGCATTTATCTCATACATGTATGTGTTTGTTACTTGTTCCTCAGAACATGGCAGACTTGTGTGCACTATTGTAGTCTTGTTGCTGAAAATGTTAGTGTTTGTCTTTCTATTGTTTGTGTTGTCTAAAAAAACAATGTGTTGTCTATGGTGCTGTACTGACACAAGGGCCTTTGACACTATTTAGGAAAACTATGTTTATTATAATGGGTGTGACTATTGGCAATAGATCAGAGTTTCTTTATTTGTTAATCGAACTACATGTGGTACATGTGGTGGAATGAAATTGTGTACACAGGGTCCCAGTGACATCCAACAAAAGTACAAAATGTAAATGAAAAACAGTAATAAGATCTAAGATATGATCTAAGAAAAATGTTAACTAAAAATATGCTCAGCACTAGTAGTACAAAAACAATACGCAGAACAGCAGGATGAACATGAGTCTGGGTGAGCAGATGAATATGAATGAACACAGCAGCCCTCCTTGGGCTGCCACCTTACTCTGGTGGAGGGGTTTGAGTGTCCCAATGATCCTAGGAGCTATGCTGTCAGGGGTTTCATGCCCCTAGTAGGGTCACTCAAGGCAGAAAGGTCCTAGGTGAGGGACCAGACAAAGTGCAGCCCAAAGACCCTTTATGATGAGTACAATCAATGGAAACAATATTCCCTCGCCCGGACGTGGGTCACCGGTAGGGGTTTAACAGACTACTCGAGTAATCTACACATAGATTCCTAGGACACCTATCGAGGTTTTTAATTTCATGTTGAGTATTCGTGGTGACGTCATTACACCACCGTTACGTCATCGCGTCACATGTCACGTGATCCGCACCGGGCGAGGGTTACAAAATGGATTCCTCCAAGCAGACAGATGGAGCGGAGCAGGTCCAGTCTTGACAAACAGGTAGAAATGCATCAAGTCTGGAAATATTTCACTAAAGATGAATCTTCTGGTTCAACTATAAGGAAACAGAAAATGAATAAACTTCCTGACTGTTTGGAGCTCGTTGCGAACCGGTGTTGAACCATATTTTGTGCCCGTAGGGGGCGGTGTTGCATGCACTGTTGCAGGTCACAGAATATGGTGTAACACCGGGTCCAATCGAACGAACCAGAACCAGCTTTCTCTGACCTTGTTTCACAAACAAAAATCAAAAAATATTTATCTCTAAACCTATTAAAAAAATCTATAAACATATAATTCTCTAAAACTAAACTTAATGCGCACCACAGCTGGTGGTGGTGTGGGGTGGTCGAGCCCCCACTGTTTTTAGTTTTGTTTTTGACATGCTGCACGTTTCTTTAAGTTTGCAGCTTAATAATAAAAACTAATAGTTTAGTTTTTCCTATGACTTATTTGCTGTATGATAAATGGTAGGAGCATAATATATGCTCCCAATTTTTTGTTGGTCTTTTTTGGTAAATAATGACCTTTTTTGTGGTTTTATTTATTTATTTATTTATTTTTGTATCTTTAGATCCTATGATGTCATCAATTACACAAGTTCTACTCGAGTTTTACTATGTTAATGTCGAGTTTTAAAAGTATATAGTCGTTCAACCCCTAGTCGCCGGGGCACCACTATGGAGCTGGGCCTGAAGGTGGGGCATGCTGTCGAAAGCCTGGTGGCCAGGCTTTTACCCATGGAGCCCAGCTGGGCATAGCCCGAAGAGGAGATGTTGGTCCCCTTTCCCATGGGCTCACCACCTGTTGGAGGGGCCAAAGGGGTCAGGTACAATGTGGGATGGGTGGTGGCCGAGGGCGGGAACCCTGGCGGTCTGATCCTCGGCTACAGAAGCTGGCTATTGGGACGTAGAATGTCACCTCCCTGCTGGGGAAGGAGCCTGAGCTGGTGTGTGAGGTTGAGAGGTTCTGGCTAGCAATAGTCGGACTCACCTCAGTGCATGGCTCTGGCTCTGGAACTAGTTTTCTTGAGAGGGGTTGGACACACTTCCATTTTGGAGTTGCCCCTGGTGAGAGACGCCGAACAGGATAGGCATACTTGTTGCCCCCATCTTGGTGCTTGTATGTTGGGGTTCACCCCGGTGAATGAGGGGGTAGCCTCCCTCTGCCTATGTATAGTTGAGGGAGGCTTTCAGGTATTTATGCGCCAAACACCAGCTCAGATTCCCCACCCGTTTTGGAGTCCTTGGAGGGGGTACTTTAGAGTGCGCCTCCTGGGGACTCCCTTGTTCTTCAGGAGGACTTCAATGCTCACGTGGGCAATGACAGTGAGACTTGGAGGGGTGTGGTTGGGAAGAATGGCCACCCTGATCTGAACCCGAGTGGTGTTCTGTTATTGGGCTTCTGTGCTTGTCGTGGATTGTCCATAACGAACACCATGTTCAAGCATAAGGGTGTTCATATGTGCTTTTAGCAGCAGGGCACCCTAGGCCGCAGTTCGTTGATCGACTTTGTTGTCATCTCATCTGATCTGCTGCCACATGTCTTGGACACTCAATTCAATTCAATTAAGTTTATTTATATAGCACCAAATCACAACAAAGTTGTCTCAGGGCACTTTACAGGAACATTCACATACATAAAAGCCAATTAGTAAATTTCTCTATCTAAGGAATCCAGCAGACAAGTTGAATCTTGGCTTTGTTGCAGTCTCCCATCCTGAGCAAGCACAGTGGCAACAGTGGAAAGGAAAAACTCCCTTTTAAAAGGAAGAAACCTCCAGCAGAACCAGGCTCAGGACAAGCGGCCAACTGCTTTGACCGGCTGGTTGAAAGGACAGGAAGGAGAGACAGACGAACATAGAATGGTAGGTCCAGGTGTATCTGAAAGACAAAAAAAAACATGTTAAGGATAGGAAAAAATTACAAATACAAAACAGGTTGAGCAGAGTAAGTAAAGACAGTAGTAGAGTGACAATTGTGGTCAGTTTGTCCTCCAGCAGTATAAGCCTATAGCAGCATAACTAAGGGACAGCTCAGGAAAACCAAGCCGACTTTAACTATAGGATTTAGCAAAAAGGAAAGTCTTAAGCCTAGTTTTAAAACTGGATAATGTGTCAGCCTCACGGACAGAGATTGGAAGTTGGTTCCACAAGAGAGGAGCCGATAACTGAAAGATCTGCCTCCCATTCTGTTTTTGTAAATTCTAGGAACCACAAGTAAACCTGCAGTCTGAGAGCGAAGTGCTCTGTTAGGAAAATATTGAACAATAAGATCTGTAATATAAGATGGAACCAGGTTGTTGAGAGCTTTGTAGGTTAAAAGTAAGATTTTGAATTCTAATCTGGACTTCACAGGGAGCCAATGGAGAGAAACTAAAACTGGAGAAATATGATCTCTCCTACTAACTCTGGTTAAGACTCTAGCAGTAGCATTTTGGATCAACTTAAGACATTTTAAAGAAGTATTTGGACATCCAGATAATAAACCATTGCAATAGTCCAGTCTAGACGTGACAAATGCATGGAATAGTTTTTCTGCATAATTTTTAGATAAGATGTTTCTAATTTTAGTGATATTACGCAGGTGGAAGAAGGCAGTTCTAGTAACATTTTTAATGTGGGGGATAAAAGACATGTCCTGCTCAAAAATAACACCAAGATTTTTAACATTAGAGCAGGAGGACAGATTAATGCCATCTAAGGAGAGAGAAAGACTGAAAAAAATAATTCCTAAGGTGCTCACGCCCAAAAACCAAACCTCAGTTTTGTCTGTGTTCAACAGGAGAAAATTAAGGGTCATCCAGGTTTTTATGTCTTTAAGACATGCTTGTAGTCTAAGTAGCTGATTGGATTCATTGGGTTTAATGGACAAATATAATTGTGTGTCATTAGCATAACAATGGAAATTTATCCCATGCCGTTTAATAATATTACCTAATGGAAGCATCTATAAAGTAAAGAGTATTGGCCCAAGCACTGAGCACTGAGGAACTCCATGACTAACTTTGGTGTATGAAGAAGATTTATTATTTACATTTACAAACTGGAATCTATCAGATAGATATGATTTAAACCATTTTAGAGCTGTTCCTGTAATCCCAATATCATATTCAAGCCTCTGTAGTAAAATATTGTGATCAACTGTATCAAATGCAGCACTGAGGTCTAACAGGACCAGTATAGACACAAGTCCATTGTCTGAGGCCATGAGAACATCATTAGTTACTTTTACTAGTGCTGTTTCTGTGCTATGATAAGCTCTAAACCCTGACTGAAACTCTTCAAAACAGATAATTTCTTTGTAAATGTTCACGCAACTGACCTGCAACTACTGTCTCTAGAATTTTTTAGATGAAAGTTAGATTAGATATAGGTCTATTGTTGGCCAGAATTTCTGAATCATGATCAGACTTCTTAAGTAAAGGTTTAATTACAGCAACCTTAAAGCGCTGTGGTACATAACCATCCATTAAAGACAAATTAAGTAGATCCAAAATGTGGACATTAATTAGGGGAAATACCTCTTTAAACAGTCTGGTTGGGATGGGATCTAGCAGGCATGTGGATGGTTTGGATGACGTTATTATTTTTGACAATTCAGAGAGCTCAACAGGACAAAAACTGTCCAAACATAAATCAGGCTCTAGTGAAATTTTTAAAGTTGCCTCATTTGACAGGGGACTAGAGATAGTAGAAAGAAGGATGGTTTGAATTTTCTCTCTAATTGAAATAATTTTATTTATAAAGAATCTCATGAAGTCATCACTACTTATAGTTGTAGGGATACATGGTTCAACAGAAATGGGACTTTTAATTAGTCTAGCAATAGTACTAAACAAAAACCTAGGGTTATTTTTATTATCCTCTATTAAAGATGAGTAATATAAAGTTCTAGCGTTACGGAGAGCTTTTTTATATGTTAGCAGAATATCTTTCCAAGTTAAATAAAATTCTTCAACATTAGTAGAGCGCCATTTTCTCTCCTGGTTTCTAGATGCCTGCTTCAAAGTACGTAACTCAGAATTGAACCAAGGAGCCAGTTTCCTCTGATTGATTACTTTCTTTTTAAGTGGAGCAATTTTATCTAGT